ATCTGCTCCATCTGAGACTCCCATCAGTCTCATCCTTCCTCTCGCCTTTCTTGGTTTTGTTTGTTTGCTTGTTGTTTCTTTTTTTCTTTTTGCGGTACGCGGGCCTCTCACTGTCGTGGCCTCTCCCGTTGTGGAGCACAGGCTCCGGACGCGCAGGCTCAGGGGCCATGGCTCACGGGCCCAGCCGCTCCGTGGCATGTGGGATCTTCCCGGCCTGGGGCACGAACCCGTGTCCCCTGCATTGGCAGGCAGACTCCCAACCACTGCGCCACCAGGGAAGCCCTGTTGTTTCTTTTTTTAAAGACAGGTCTCTTTAAACTTCGCCTTCCGCAACAAACAAACCCAAAGCAGAAGTTAATTGGTGTTTGTAAGCAAATATAAAACTGACTTCTTGATGTAAATACAGCGAACCAGTAAGCACATATATGCTCCCATGTAGCAAGGTGCTAGGTGTTCTGATAGAAAGACATATAAGAACAAATACAAATAAAATTTGTAAAATAAATAAAGCCCACAATGAGACACCCACTTGAATGATTAATTGAAAAGACAATACCAAGTGTTGACAGAGAGGTAGAGAAACTGGAACCATCATGCACTGCTGGTGGGAATGTAAAATGACACAGCCACTTTGGAAAACAGTTTGGTGACATCTTAAATAGTCAAATGTAAACTTATCATATAATCTAGCAGTTCCGCTCCTTAGAGTCTACCCAAAAGAAATGAAAATGTATGTTCACACAAAGACTTGTATACGAATGTTCATAGCAGCATTATTCATAAGAGCCACAAACTGGAAACAGTCCTTATGTTCATCACGTTATGCATGGATAAACAAAATACAGTATATCCAGACATTGGAATATTATCTAGCAATTAAAAAAATGAAACACTGAAATATGATGAAGTATAGATGAACCTCGAAAACATTATGCTAAGTGAAAAATGCCAGATGCAAAAGGCTATATATTGTATGATTCCATTTATGTGAATCTAGACAAAGCAAATTTGTAGAGACAGAAAGCAGATCTGTGGTGGCCGGGGCCTACAGATGAGAACAAATGGGTATGGTGAAACTTTGGGGGCTGATCTAACTGTTCTAAAACTGGATTGTGGTGATAATTGCACAGCTCTATAAATTTACTAAAATCATTTAATCATACATTTATAATGGGGGAATTGTATGGAATGTAGATTTTATCTCAATAAGGCAGTTAAATATTTTTTCTTAAAGCATATACCACAATTAAATAATTGAAAGTTCTTTTCTATGCAAAAGAAATAGAAAGGCACTATATATAGTTCAGGTGTGGCCTGCAGACCCCTGGAGTTTCCTGAAATATTCTCAGGGAGTCTTCAAAGTCATTTTCCTAATAATAAAGAAGCTATTTGCCTTTTTGAAGGCAAATAGCTGTTGACATTTGTACTGATGGTGCAAAAGCAATGGTGGGTAAAACTGCCTGTGCCTTAGCACAAATCCAGGCATTGGCACCACACCTTATTAGTAGTCATAGTAGTACTATTATTAGTAGTACTAATAGTAGTTATTAGTAGTCACCACCACCAAGCATAGTGGAAGAATATATTCTATTTTCACTTAAGAATGCCCTTGTTGGGGACTTCCCTGGTGGCGCAGTGGTTAAGAATCCACCTGCCAATGCAGGGGACACGGGTTCAATCCCTGGTCCAGGAAGATCCCACATGCCATGGAGCAACTAAGCCCGTGTGCCACAACTACTGAGCTTGTGCTCTCCACCCCGCAAGCCACAGCTACTGAGGCCCATGCGCCACAACTACTGAGCCTGCGCTCTAGAGCCTGCGAGCCACAACTACTGAAGCCCACATGCCCTAGAGTCCGTGCTCCGCAACAAGAGAAGCCACCGCAATGAGAAGCCCGCTCGCCACAACTAAAGAAAGCCTGTGGGCAGCAACGAAGACCCAACACAACCATAAATAAATAAAATTGATTCTTAAAAAAAAGAATGCCCTTAATGAAGCAGTAGAAATTATTGAAGTTTTTAACTCTTAGATCTTAGATGCATATCTTTTTATTTTTTAATAAGATCTTTATCTCAAGGGAAAGCACTTCTGCAATTGATTGAGTTGCAAGCTGAACTTGCAGATGTTTTTTTGTGGGACACCATCTCTACTGTAGAAAAATAGTGCCTGGCAGACAAATTATGGATATTCAGACTTGGGTATTTGGCAAACAGTTTCTCAAAAATGACCAAATAGAGCCCGTTACTCCAAAGAAAACAATTGTCAGTGTTTGTTGCTGGTCATAAAATTCGAATATTAAACCAAAATTAGAATTTTGGAAAACTTGTATCCACCACGATGAGCTTGACACCTTTTGTCAAGACTTTTCTCATGAGGGACTTCCCTGGTGGTCCAGTGGTTAAGACTCTCCACTTCCAATGCAGGCGGCGCAGGTTCGATCCCTGGTTGGGGAACTAAGATACCGCATGCTGCGCAGCGCAGCCAAAAATAAAAATTAAAATTAAAAAAAGGAAAGATTTTTCTCATGAGATTGATGCTGATTTTAACAAATGTGATTTTTTTCATATTGTGTAATGAAATGTATCAAAATTTGCAGAATATAGGTAAGAGGTCTTGATACTAAAAACTTTGAGGACTACTGGCCTAGTGGCTAATAGCATGAACTCTGGGGCCATTCTGCATGGATTCAAATCCCAACGCTATTACTTATTACTTGTAGAATCCCAGTAAGTGTTTCATCTCTCCATGGCTCAGCTTCCTCATTTATAAAATGGGGAAAATAATGATACCTATCTCAGAGAGGTATGTGGGCATAAAAGTAAATTAATATATATATACTTGTGAACGTTAAAATGAGTTGATGTATGCAACCAGTTAGAATAACATGTGGTGAGTTGTTACTGATCTTGATGAGTGGTAATTTGTAAAAACAAATACATTATAAGTACAAAATAGATAGAAATCTCTATGTAATTATATATATATTTGTAACCAAGAAATCCCCAGCTGCTTCCTCCCCATCCCCCATGCCCTCACCCCCCATCTCTGCCTCACCTTGGGTACTCTCACTTCCTGGAAGGGCACATCTGTGCCTGATGTCCTAAAGTGTCCTTGCCATCTATTGAGATGTCCTAAAGTGTCCTCCCCATCTATTGAGTCTCTGTTTGGGGCAGTTCCTTCTTTTTTTAGCAACCACACAATGTGTTTTTAAGGAAGATTTGGTGAGACAGTATAGTTATGAAGGGTACAGTTTAATAAATTGAATAGAAACAGAGTATAATTATATGTCTTTGCATTCTTAGAATTAGAAGTCTCTTTCCTGCCTTAGCAATGTTTAAAATTATGATGCATCATTTAAGTTCAAAGAGTTTTTAGCAAATTATGTGAATAGAGAAAAAGTATAAGGTTCTGTCACATCAAATACATCCATTTTCAGTGCTTAATCCAAGCACACATAAAGTTTAAGGGAGAAAATGACTCATTTGGAGGGAACCTACATCTTCAGCCCTGCAGAGAGACTACAGTTGAGCTATTTTTATCTATGTTTAGAAAAGTTAATTATGTGCTGACATCATTTATTTGTTCTACCAGTATTCGATGAGTGGCTCCCATGGAGTGCCAGGCCCCTAGCCAGGCACTGTTGTCCCAGTTGTAAAGAAGGGATGTGGGTCCCGCCCTCCTGGACTTAGTGCATTGAAGTTTTCTAATTGTTCTCCCACCTTCTTTGTAAAAAAATGAGGTGGTTCATCTGTTGTTCACTGACTACATCAGCAGAGAGAACAGTATATATTTTATACTTTTTAAATGTTCATGAAAACATTCTCGAGTTTAGTGTGAGGTAAAGAAGGTAAGCTAGACTGCAAAAGAACGGTAATGATTGTTTCTTCTCCTGGAAGATCACAAACAAAATTACCGTCTATTTTGGAGGACTGACGTTATACAGATATGCTCATGTTTGATGGTAAATAGCAAACAACCAGGCATGTAAGTTGTTGCAGTTTTCACTGATTTACGTGGCTTCTGCTATCCTAGGAGAAATAATGAGCTCTTGAAAGAGCTCATTTGGGGACCATCTGTTTATGTGCCATCCCACATCACTCTGCCTGTGGTGAGAATGGTGGGTCGGCCCACAGGACTTTTTATTCCTTGCCCCTACCTACCCCAGGTCTTTAATTATTGCCACACCTCAGGTTGCTTGAGTGTATATAGTCACCTGTTAAGTAGGTTTAGAATAGTCCTTCCTTTCATTTTCGGGGGTATATTTAGAGAGCAAATTTTAGAGCACCTTAGATATTTTTTTAAAGATAATGGAAAAACACAAAGCAGTAGTAGTATTGAGACAGTGTGCTTACTGATATACTTGTATTTTAAGATTTGAGAGTATTTCTTTCCTATGCGGCTGGTTTACTGGGAATAAGAAATCAAATCAGGCTAAAAGCCAAAGAAGTATTTCTGGAATACAGGCTAGTATTGAGTTTCATTAATTTAATTAAATTCAATCTCAATATTCATTATACATGGAAAATATTGGCTATTTTTAGTCATGTTCTTGTCCCTGTCACTGCTAGGGCCTTATGCAAACTTTATGTGTCAGTAACTGCAGTTGTCTTTCACAAATAAAATGCACAAAATCACTTAACCTGGGCAAGCAAACAATGGCTGTGGTTGTACTACCGCTGTTCTTTTTCACTAGAATCTTCTGTTCTTTGATTCTCTTACTGTTTTCAGTAACTCCACCTAAAAATCAAATATTACTCACACGTTATTTTCTAAAAGGAGCCATAGCTCTTATAAAAGTTAATTCCTCTTTTCATGACAACGTTCCCTGTTAAAATATTTGGCAGTTCTACTTATACTGTGTGACATCTTTGTAAGGACTTTTGCCCTCCCCAACCTCAGAGGCTCCCAAACAAACCTAACGTTTTGTTGATGAAAATTTATGCTCTTGTTTAATTGCTGATTCTCATCTTGTCTTTTACATGTGTGTTTATGTGTTTCAGGAAAAAAGTGCCAGTTCAAATGTAAGACTTAAAACTAATAAAGAGATTCCGGGATTAGTTCATCAACCCAGAGCAAAGTAAGTGCTAGTTCCTATTTTCCTATATTGTTTTTAAAGCTAAAGATGTTTTTAGAGTGAGCTCCATTTTGCTTGCCATGTAACCAAGACTTATGATAAAGCCTCAGTAACTGAGACAGTGTGATTTAGTCTCATGGAACAAAATAGAGAGACCCAAAACAGACCCACAATATATGACAGAGCTGACACTTCACATCAGTTAGAAGAAAATGAAGGGGAATATCTTTATAACCGTGGGGTAGGGAAAAACTTTGAATAAGTCACAAAGGATGCAGATCTTAAGAAAAATGATTAATTTTTGTGACTACATTAAAATTAAGAACTTCTGTTTATCAAAATATACTGTAGGAGAGTAAAAGGCCACAAAATGATGGAATATATTTACAATATGTATAATTAACAATACTCGGGTTTCCAGAATGTATCAAGTAATTCTATGAATCCGTAAGTAAAAGACAGAACTCATAGAAAAGCAGGCTAAAGACGTAAACAACCACTTGACTGAAGAGGAAACATGAATAGCTAATGCATATGAAAAAATACCATTTCACACCACAAGATTGGCAAAAATTTAGAAGGCTAATGATACTAAAATGTTTACCAGAATGTAGGGATATAAACTGGTACAATTACTTTGGAAAACAACTCCACTATCAGGTGTATACCCTAGAGAAACTCTTGTGCATGTGTGCCAGCAGGCATATTTTGAAATGTCCATAGCAGCACTGTTTACATGAGCTCTTAAAGCTCTTGAAGATATGGGACTTTCCTGGCAGTCAGTGGTTAAGACTCCACGCTTCCACTGCACAGGGCATGGGTTCCATCCCTGGTCGGGGAACTAAGATCCTGTGTGCCTCGTGGCGGTGACATGGCCAAAAAAAAAAAAAAAAGCTCTTGGAAATAAAACCCAAATGTCCATCAGACATGTAGTGGATAACAAAACTGTGGTATATTCTTATGATGGGAATGCTACATATCAGTGAAAATGAATGACCAATAGCAACCCAGATCAAGATAGAGGAATCTCATGAAATGTAAGGTTGTACCAGTAAGGTAAGTGGTAGTACCTGCCTATGTACAGTTTCATGCATATAAAGTGCAAAAACAGGCAGAGCTAAGCCATATATTATATATATGTACATGGTAAAACAATAAAGGCAAGCAAAGAAATGAAGAGGCATTAAATTCAGAATAGTGGTTCTTTCTACTGGATAGAAGACAGTGGGACCAGAGGTTCTATCTCTTAATCCGAGTGGTGGTTACATGCGTGTTCCTTTAATTATTATTATTTGAAAATGTACAAATAACATTATATGTTTCCTTTTCTATGTGTTAAGTATTTCACAGTTAAAATGCTAAAGAGAATAATGAGTAGTTTCTATATTGTTCTAAAACTGAGTCTACCTTGGTGATAAAATGCACTTGTGTGACTTTGAAGCTACCTGCCCTTTCTTCAAAGAAGCTGTAATCCCAGAGGCTGCAAACCTCTCTTGTGTTGTTCTGCCTAAATATGAACAAATTCCCTAAGGGTGCTGATCACACAAGTACAACTGACACAGTCACCACCATCCCCAAATAATTTTAACTATGACATATATGTAAATCAATATCATAAGTGGAAAAAGTTGTGTTCTCTGGTTCTTCCCAGGAGGTTGAGACAAAAATAACATAATCACTTTAACCTGGCTGAGTGTCTGGAACTGCTGCAGCCATGGCTACTGTGATATGGTGGTTAGGACTCTTCAAGGGGTGGTGAATGAGCTCAGGGATTGAATTTTTTACTTCCAAAGAAAACTGGACATTTTGAAATCCATTTATCATTTACAGTGTCAGTATAATGGGACAACCGATTTTTTTCACCCTCAGGTAAATGTCATGCTATAATCACAACCTACCTAATCCACTTCAGTTGTAATCACTTTTATCTACACTAATTTTATCTGCCTCTGAGGACAACAGATACCTGATAACACTACCAAATCATCTTTTCATCCAAGCCATTAGATATATGCTCCTTTTAAATGCTTCTAGAAAAAGACTCTATTGAGAATTTCTTTTTTCCTTTAAAACAAATACTTATTTAACTTTGGCACATTGAAATAGCATGCTTTGCAGACACGCATGTGCTGAAGCTTTCAGAGAAGTTGATTAAATTGGCTTGTGTGTTTACATTAAAATTATGAAGAAAATCCCCTGTTCTTCACACAGCATAATGCTCGTGTGTGTGTATGTGTGTATGTGTGTGTGTGTGTGTGTGTGTGTATTTTAAACTGTGAGTCAGATCATTGGGTTTCTGGAATTCAACTAAGAAATATTTCTGGAGGGCTAAGAGAAGGATTTTACTTTTTCTACTCGTTGACATAATATAGGTTCCAGGAAATTATTCTTTATTATGCAGCTGTATAAAATAAGATGAGGCTTTTTCCCCATGAGTGGAAGGACAATCCCATACCTGATAATGGCAGATTTATTAATAATGAAGGCAGATAATGCTCACATCTTCATATGATGCACCACGTAGACCACATTCTTACTGACTTTGTAATCTCAGGCCAGTGACCTTATATCTGTGAGCTTCAGTTTTCTCCAAGAAAAATGGAGGTGAAAAATCCTGTCTTATAGGGCTGGGGCTTAAATGAAATAATGTACACCCGGTTCTTATCACAGTGTCTGACACTTGGTAAGAACACCTTAACAATCAGAAACAACCCAAATGCCCTTTGACAGGTAATTGGATAGATGAACTACACTGTATTCACACAGTGGGATATTAGCAGTTAAAACGAATGCACTGCAGCAATGCACAACGCAGGATGGACCCTAGCAATATAGCACTAGAACAAAGAGTAAGTCCTGCAACATTACACAGAGCATAATGCACTCTATAAAGTTAAAAACAACTAAAATAAATCATCTGCTTTTTAAGCACATAGAGAGATAGAGTAAAGCTATGTAAAAGGAAAGCAGGGGCATGATAGTTCCCTTGAGTTGGGAGAAACACACAAGGGTGGGACGTAAGTAACCTCTAGGTTCTTGTTAAGATTGCAGCTTTGGGCTTCCCTGGTGGCGCAGTGGTTGAGAGTCCGCCTGCCAATGCAGGGGACGCGGGTTCATGCCCCGGTCCAGGAAGATCCCACATGCCGCGGAGCAGCTAGGCCTGTGACCATGGCCGCTGAGCCTGTGCGTCCGGAGCCTGTGCTCCGCAACGAGAGAGTCCACAACAGTGAGAGGCCCGTGTACCGCAAAAAAAAAAAAAAAAAAAAAAAAAAAAGATTGCAGCTTTGTAGAGGGAACTTAACCTCAACATAATAAAGGCCATATATGACAAACCCACAGCCAACATCGTTCTCAATGGTGAAAAACTGAAACCATTTCCTCTAAGATCAGGAACAAGACAAGGTTGCCCACTCTCACCACTATTATTCAACATAGTTTTGGAAGTTTTAGCCACAGCAATCAGAGAAGAAAAAGAAATAAAAGGAATCCAAATTGGAAAAGAAGAAGTAAAGCTGTCACTGTTTACAGATGACATGGTAGTATACATAGAGAATCCTAAAGATGCTACAAGAAAACTACTAGAGCTAATCAATGAATTTGGTAAAGTAGTAGGATACAAAATTAATGCACAGAAATCTCTTGCATTCCTATACACTAATGATGAAAACTCTGAAAGAGAAATTAAGGAAACACTCCTATTTACCATTGCAACAAAAAGAATAAAATACCTAGGAATAAACCTAAGGAGACAAAAGACCTGTATGCAGAAAATTATAAGACATTGATGAAAGAAGTTAAAGATGATATAAACAGATGGAGAGATATACCATGTCCTTGGATTGGAAGAATCAACTTTGTGAAAATGACTACACTACCCAAAGCAATCGACAGATTCAGTGCAATCCCTATCAAACTACCAATGGCATTTTTCACAGAACTAGAACAAAATATTTCACAATTTGTATGGCAACCCAAAAGACTCCGAATAGCCAAAGTAATCTTGAGAAAGAAAAACGGAGCTGGAGGAATCAGGCTCCCAGACTTCAGACTATACTACAAAGCTACATTAATCAAGACACTATGGTACTGGCACAAAAACAGAAATATAGATCAATGGAACAGGATAGAAAGCCCAGAGATAAACCAACACACATATGGTCACCTTATTTTTGATAAAGGAGGCAAGAATTTACAATGGAGAAAAGACAGCCTCTTCAATAACTGGTGCTGGGAAAACTGGACAGCTACATGTAAAAGAATGAAATTAGAACACCTCCTAGCATCATACACAAAAATAAGCTCAAAATGGATTAAAGACCTAAATGTAAGGCCAGAAACTATCAAACTCTTAGAGGAAAACATAGGCAGAACACTCTATGACATAAATCACAGCAAGATCCTTTTTGACCCACCTCCTAGAGAAATGGAAATAAAAACAAAAATAAACAAATGGGACCTAATGAAACTTCAAAGCTTTTGAACAGCAAAGGAAAACATAAACAAGACCCAAAGACAGCCCTCAGAATGGGAGAAAGTATTTTCAAATGAAGCAACTGACAAAGGATTAATCTCCAAAATATACAAGCAGCTCATGCAGCTCAATATCAAAAAAAACCAAACAACCCAATCCAAAAATGGTCAGAAGACCTAAACAGACATTTCTCCAAAGAAGATATACAGATTGCCAACAAACACATGAAAGGATGCTCAACATCACTAATCATTAGAGAAATGCAAATCAAAACTACAATGAGTTATCACCTCACACCAGTCAGCATGGCCATCATCAAAAAATCTACAAACAATAAATGCTGGAGAGGGTGTGGAGAAAAGGGAACCCTCTTGCACTGTTGGTGGGAATGTAAATTGATACAGCCACTATGGAGAACAGTATGGAGGTTCCTTAAAAAACTTAAAATAGAATTACCATACGACCCAGCAATCCCACTACTGGACATATACCCTGAAAAAAACATAATTCAAAAAGAGTCATGTACCACAATGTTCGTTGCAGTTCTATTTACAATAGCCAGGACATGGAAGCAACGTAAATGCCCATTGACAGATGAATGGATAAAGAAGGTGCGGCATATATATACAATAGAATATTACTCAGCCATAAAAAGAAACGGAATTGAGTTATTTGCAGTGAGGTGGATGGACCTGAGTCTGTCATACAGAGTGAACTAAGTCAGAAAGAGAAAAACAAATACCGTATGCTAACACATATATATGGAATCTAAAAAAAAAGGTCATGAAGAACCTAGGGGCAAGACGGGAATAAAGACGCAGACCTACTAGAGAATGGAGTTGAGGACACGGGGAGGGGGAAGGGTAAACTGGGACAAAGTGAGAGAGTGCCATGGACTTATATATTACTACCAAATGCAAAATAGATAGCTAGTGGGAAGCAGCCGCATAGCACAGGGAGATCAGCTCAGTGCTTTGTGACCACCTAGAGGGGTGGGATAGGGAGGGTGGGAGGGAGACGCAAGAGGGAGGAGATATGGGAACATATGTATATGTATAGCTGATTCACTTTGTTTAAAGCAGAAACTAACACACCATTGTAAAGCAATTATACTCCAATAAAGATGTTAAAAAATAAAAATCGCAGCTTTGGATTTTTGTTTTGGTTTCATGGGTGCTTATTATACTATTATTTTAAAAAATAACTCAATAAAAGTGAGCCATGAACTACTAGCCAGGGTGTGTCCTGCTGTGAGGATTAGGATTACCCCACTCCCCTGAGGTGCAATTGAAAAGTAGTAATGATGATCATGAAGAAATAACTGTGGGGCTTCCCTGGTGGCGCAGTGGTTGAGAGTCCGCCTGCCGATGCAGGGGACGCAGGTTCGTGCCCCGGTCCGGGAGGATCCCACATGCCGCAGAGCGGCTGGGCCCTTGAGCCATGGCCGCTGAGCCTGCGCATCCGGAGCCTGTGCTCCACAACGTGAGAGGCCACAACAGTGAGAGGCCCGCGTACCGCAAAAAAAAAAAAAAAAAAAAAGAAATAACTGCGTTTAGGCTAAGATTTGTCAGGAGTAATGGAATTTCATTTTTGCAGGTGAAGTGTTTGGGAATTAAGACCTTGCCTTCTTATACTTTGGCAGCTTAGGTGTTTATTGTTTGGAAGCTTGTTTTTTTAAGTCACTTAAAATGGGAGCCATGTATCTTTCAGCTCTAGAGCTCATTTTGTCCACCTTTCCTTCGTTTGATTACTTGTCATTAAGATTCCATAGCATCATCACCCTAGTCTCAGGAAACTGACAAGTCACAGAAAGAAGAGCCTCTGATGGCAGGGTTAACTCACAAGAGCTTTGCTGGGACCGCTGGGAGCCACAAGAATGCTCCAGGGTATAAATGGAGTATAATCTATAAAAATTTTGAGTCACTGTGTTGTACACCCGGAACTAATATAATATTGCAAATCAACTATACCTCAATAAAAAAGAAATGTTCCAGGGGAGCGTTGTGTTTTCCAAGGTGGAATTTTAGTAATTACAGAGAAATAGGAATAGCCGAAATTGTTAAGCTGTAGTAGTTAAATCCCAACATACAGGCTTTTAGAAAAGATTTTTAGATCTAATTAATCTTAGCATCAAGTATTCATACTTTTTTTTTTTTTTTTTTTTGGTTCGTGGGCCTCTCCCTTTTTTGGCCTCTCCTTTTTCGGGGCCCAGGCCCCCGACGCACAGGCTCAGCGGCCATGGCTCACGGGCCTAGCGGCTCCGCAGCACGTGGGATCCTCCTGGACCAGGGCACAAACCCGTGTCCCCTGCATCGGCAGGCGGATTCTCAACCACCGCGCCACCAGGGAAGCCCTTAGTATTCATACTTTATAAACTAAATGAGAAACAATCCAATTATCCCATCCTAAATCTTGAAGAAAGACAGTAAAGCCAGCCCAGCATGCTTTTCCATCTCCTCCCCTCACTCAACAATCATCAACTTGTCCATCAGAAGGGGTTTAAGGATCAAGTTGTTACCTAGGGACTGTTTCTCACAGTGCGATGTGTACCCTGGTAGGTAAGAACTATTATTAATGCCACTGTGTTGATAGTTTCCACGTGAGAGGAGGGCCCCTGTTTACCTAGGCGGGAGTCAGTCGATAGAGGGTAATTTACTTCATCAGGGTGAAAGTTCTGTCTCTGTCCCTATGGAAGAGATTTAGGGCTTCTCTCTGAAAGGAGCGCATGAAGAACAGCAGAGTAAGCCTCACGCTGTCTGGTTACACCATCTCTAAGACAACACACAGGTAACGAGGATCTCCGTGGTGGGCGTTTGCTCCACCTGGCAGGGTCTGCTGCACCTCCAGGGATAACAGTTTATCTGAAAGAGCTCAGTTAGTGCATCGGGATTTGAGAATACATAAGTCACCCTTCCATTCAAGACCCTTTCCCTCCTGTCCGTGAATCCTCTCTGCTCTCCTTACCTTCTTAGTTTTGTCCTCACCAACCACGTCCATCTCATTAAGTATGGTGTTAAATAGCAAAGAACAGGGAAACACGCAGGGCGAGGGCTACTCAGACATGCCTCCTCACTTACTCTCACCTTCCAGTGGATCTCAGTTCCAAAGAGGTGCATTTGCTGTCACCAGTACAGGAGATATTCAGGTCAAGTTCTCGGTCCGTTTGCTGCCAGCCCACACCTATACAGTCAGCTGAATACCATGCTGACAGCCTGTGTAAAATACACATTTTAATATAATAACTAGGATATATTTTCTTGTTATGGTTCCACACAGGGTTGAAATATGCCATGTACTGCTTGCCTGTGCTTTTTGTTTTAAGTACAAGGCAAAAATTGGGCACACACCTCCGAGTAGCACCACTATAAATAACGTGTACGTTGAAAGGAAATTGCGTTCCTTAAATCATAGGAACTGATAGACTGTTATGAAACACGTTTGCAGGGTTACTGTAATGACGTTTATCCTTAGTGTGACTTCAGAGTACTTCAGTGGAAAAGTCTGCAAGAAATAAATGACTGCCCCGAAGTTTAGGGACTCAGCATTTTTCATCTGAGGGAGCTAGGTTTAAGAAAACACTGAAATACGCACTTACCTACTCTGTTTTTCAGCATGCACATCTCTGAAAGCCAGCAAGAATTCTTCAGAATGCTGGATGAAAAAATTGAAAAGGTAAGAAGTAAAATTACATGTTTCAAGGGAAATATTGCCTCATGAGTTAGAGTAACGGTATTCTGGTTTCTGTTACAAAGCTTTTCTTACAAGGGGATGGTTAGAGTTAAAACAAACGTCCACACATCACAGCGTGGCTAGGAGAATATTTAATGTATAACAGAGCTTCCCAGGATCCTGGGCTACCGTTGATCTTTCATTAAAGTGTGGAAAGTCAGGTAGAGACTGGTAAGAGCCTTTGCCTAGAAACAGAGCGTTGCTATCTATGACTGTGTATTGTCTGCACCTGATGCCCTGCTCGGACCTCAGACTGCAAGCAGGGAGGTCCTTAGTACCTGTCTTCTACATACCCAATGTTGCTCTGAGTTATTGACACATGTTGCAAACATGTTGCAGTCAATACCTTACCTCAGGGAAGTGGCCATGAGACAGGTAATATTTGCATTTTACAGATAAGGAAATTGAGGCTCATGCTTGAGTAACTTACCCAGGTTTGCAAGGCTAATAGCGGTCGTGTTGGAATTCCAGCCCACGTCTGTCTGACTCCAAAGCAGAGTCTCCAGGTTGCTTCTCTAAAAGTGTGTGGTTTTTAGAGTGACAGTAAGACACAAAGTTGATTCATGTGGAAATTTAACCCATACTTATGATCTCAGAGTGCCATATGAGAATTAACTGAATGAAGGGTTCAATATGGTAATCATTAAAGGCTTACGTGCTTAGAGAGTTTAAATTTATCACTGCAGGGAGTGAATTTTAAATACTAAAGTTATACATCTGAGAATTATAATTTGAAAACCTTATTCTGAAGAAGAGCTAAATTCTAAATTCAGAACATATCACGACTATGGTTAAGGCATCACGGGCCAATTTTACCTTTGAAATGTTTTCCATTTTAATTTTTACTTCTTTTTTTACTTTTTGTGGCCCTTGAGCATTTCTTCATGAATTCCTAGGCTATGTATATATCAGTCAATGGAAGATAGTGAAGGAGGTCTTAAATTCATCCGTACTTCAGTAACAGACTCCTCTCTGAGGTGGACCTCTCCTGAAAGAGTCATTATATAATCTTCTAATGCACCATTAAAAGACCAGCATCTATTACCAATGTGAAAAATAGAAATGGGTAATGAACTAAAGTAATAGTTTAATCTATAGTGTTCCTTGGCTATGCTTACATTCTCATTTGAGTATATATATATATATAATTTTTTTTTTTTTACTTTTAGTGAAATTTTAGCTTATGCATGACTTTTTAGATTGAAAACATCATCTAGGAATAATTACCAGGTTTCACATATTGGTTCAAAAGCTGTTCAACTTGCCAGTAACATTTTGTTTTCAGTAAAGAGAAGCATAAAAAGCAATATTTTGTTCCTACTGTAATGGTGAAGATCTTTTCTTTCTCTGGATTATTTCTCCTCCACTAGCTTTTTGGCAATAAAAATATTTGCTTAGTAGTCAGAGGTAGTCTGTAAAAATTGAGACCTGAATTGTAAGTTATCTTTTTAAACAACATTTACAGACCCTGACAAGGTGTTTTAAGTGATCTAATCTCTTTCTGGTGTGTTTCCATAATTGAAATTCTACCTCTTTGTTACTCAAAACTGAAATTCATTGTTCCCATCTGGAATTCTACTTCCCTTCTTACTTTGCATCCAGGATGTAGACTGTGATGTGTTTAGCACAACAAAAGCAAAGTTTATAACTTGATCATTTATTGGATGGAACTTTCCTTGGACAAAGGAGCATTTGTAGATTCAGGATACAGTGTTCCCACTATATATTGAATATATTTATATTCAAAAATGAGCTGTTATATAATCTGTGATACGTGCCCAGTTACAAATTTCTAAGGGAATTTTGTATCTTCTCTGAACCAAACTTTCCTATTTCTGCTCTCTTACCTAAAGTTCATCCTTCTGAATTTTGTGAATATGCTATCCTATGTCTCATCTAAACATTAAGCCTCCCCAAATTGAAATGTTCCTTTTTAATATATGTGTTCAGCTTAGTATAGCCTTCACCATAGTTTATATAACCAAAATTGGAAGTTGGATTCTTATGAATCATTTTCCTGACTTTTTACCATTGCTAAATATTTCTTTGGTCCAACTAATATTTAGACAACCATAAATGCAATTCACATCTATTCTTTAGGTTATATAGGATTGATTTTAAAAAACTAAACTCAGAGCTTCGTGGTGCAAATTGGAGTCATTCTGAGAGGCCTTGAGTTTTGAGATATAATCTTTCTCAGAAATATCCAGGAATAGTAAGAAGCAAAATTGAGTGAATCTGTAGAGATTTAAACCTGCCGTTCCTTGATTCATCCTTTGTATTTATTGAATGTCTACGGGGCATAGTTTGATTTACCTTTCAACTCTCCTCTCCATACTAAGAGAAATCTCTGTTCTGTCTCTCTCAAATATATGCAAACGTACCATTAGTATAAGGAAACAAGGACTGCTAGGTGGTTTAATACTTACAGTGAAACTTAATGTGGACTACTCTAAATCAAAAATGATCATGGTGCCGAGCTGCAGTTTACTTTTGCACCACAGCTGGGCAAGCAGTTTTCTAAGAAGTTACTGGTGTCGAAGAAAAGCAAGTAGCAAAAATGCATTAACAAAGTATTTAGCACTTTTGATGCTAAATTATTTAGCATCGTTTAATTATTTAGCATACCAGGTTATGCTGTGACTCAGGATAGAAAAACAGATAGGAACTAAGGGATACAGAATAAGTAGGAAAGAGTCCCTTGACTTGAGGAGCTCAGTTTTAAATGCAGATTTCTTTGAAAAGGTCATTATTTTACCAATGGAGGAGTCCTTCTTCCATCACCCCTTACACCATTATCACCGTGAGTCAGGTCCTCCTGTATTGAACGTAGGTGTTTCAGGGGTCAAGTGCTGAAACTTGAGGTCCGTGAACCAGGCAGTTGGGACATCCTTGGACACTTGACACCATTTCACTATGCTGGCGTGAAGAAAGCCAGGACACTGAGCTGCATCTGGAGATGACCACGAGAGAGATTTTTGTCAGGAGAGCAGTGAGAGTTCAAAAGAGCATTGTAAGCTCTGATCTACTTTTGCTTTTCCTTTTGGAGAGTAAAAAAATGCTGTGAAACAATGGGAGCACCTCATTTATCTTTACCTCATTATTTTTCACTTGGATACCTAACCATTATTCCATTACAATCTGTAGTTGTTGTCCCTGACAGTTCACAGGCTCCTGAACTTTATGTGAAGTGGTGACATTTGCCTAATTTTACAGCTTAAAGAAAATGACAGTTTACTGTAGAGCAAGATAATGATTTTAAACTCTCGTCTTTCACTGTATTTAGAGGAGAAAGAAGAGATCTAGATGATTAAAACTTGGCCCTGTGGAGGAGTTTCTGAATATCATACCAAAGACAGATCACATCAGATCTTAAGATATGCTTTCTACGGTATATTTGTTTACTTGTAAGAAGCAGAAAAAGTAAATACATTTTTTAAGTATCTGCATTAATACTGTCTTTCCCAGGCAAACGCAGGGATTTATATTTTGCTTTAGGAAGATGTAAGAACAGCTGACAACTGAGAAGTCTTTTGCTCTCTCAGAGAGAGCCCTGAATGTTAAATAAAGAATGTCTCAGTGCAATGCCAGTTGCATCTGGTTAGTTTTCCTTGTGAAAAGCATCTTAAGCTCTGTTGGGTCATGGGCATTTTTTTGGAATGTTGTAAAAGTTAGAAAGACTCTCCCTATAAAACTGCACATGATATCATATACACAAAATTCTTAAGTAAAATTTTAGAGTTTTTTAACTGTCTGGAGCCTGTCCTTGGGCCCCAGGCAAAGAACCTGTGCATTTCACTTATGGGCTTTGCTCAGATCCAGGGCCCAACTATACCCATGAGCACCCACGAGTCTCATCAGGGTCTGATCTTATCCATATGTATCTCTGACTGTAAAGAAAATTAGGAAACTAAGCACAGGTAACTCCAAGAAAACCCATTCTCCTTCCTTTCATCGCTCCCTTCTCCTCTTTGAGAATAGCTCATAGTACTTCACCCCCCGAGGGTGAGCCATCAGCGTGCCACCATGCCTCGCATATTCCTGTACGATTTTGAGACTCCGCCTCTGCTGACTGGAATTATTCAATGTGACCTTTTGAGGAAATGTCTTAGAAAGAGCAGCGGATGGATTTAAAATCAGCTGATTTTAAAATATGTTTATCTATAGACCTTTTACATCTGTTGAAAAATCATTTACACTTAGAAAATGTTTGGGTTCCTGAAGTGGCCTGATTTCCTTGGCCCCAGAACTAACCTAGTTGGTGAGAAACATGGTAAGTCTGCATTTATAAATTTATTTCAAGGGCTCCTTTTCTTAATATTATGTCAGATCAGTCTGAACTACGCTATGAATCAGTGTGTCAGAGATCCGAAGGTGTTTGCTTTTCATCTGGTAAAGAGAGTGACTTGTGTGTAATTATGAGCCATGATTTTTGGCTCTATATATAAACTCTTCCTGAAGAAGACTGTTTAACTGCAGAGCTGCTATAGAATCGAATATAATATTTGGCACCTGCGTTGATGATAGGTTTTACTTTCTGGTGGTGCGTTTACAGGTCTCCTCAGTGCCGCTAGTGATGAGAAACATGGGACTGTTGTATCAGATCCTGAAGAATGTCACCCGGCCTGCTCCATGTGTACAGAGGAAGTCATAGCATGTCCCTCCCACTAGCTTGTCAATTTCCGTAACAACCAGGGCCTTCAGCACTCTGGCAGAGAGATGCTCTTGCTGGCATATGTGTTTTGGAACTGGGCTGGGCTGCCGTTATTCCATTAAACAGCTCCTTGCTCCATGGGAAACACAGCAGGGCCTTAATTTTGCTAATAACCAAACCCTGCTTTGTGTCTCCTTCCCCTTCATCCCCCCGTCTTGCCTGCTCTCTCTCCTGTACGTACCTTTCCTCATTCGCTGGTCAGAGTAAAGCTGTAATTACAAGGGTAAGG